TTCTTTCTGGCTCAGAAACCTGAACTTAATCCAGGCTTTTTCTATCTTCTCCCCACCCCCAGCTCCCAAATCAGATGGCTCACAATGTCTTTATGACACTTCTCACTTCTTATGTGTGAAATCCAAGAGGGGTATTCGGAGACTATAAGGATGAAGGCATTTGGTCAAAAGGATCAAAAGAAATCCTACCATGGACAGCGGGAGAGGACCCCAGGGCACTGGCCCCTCCCATCACTGACCACATAGGGTGCACGGGGAGCATCTGAAAATCGGGGCCATTCTTTACTCGAGACAGTGGAGATGAGCTTGAGGTTTCTAGGTCTTTTTCTCTATAAGTAGTTCTCTGGACCTCTGATAAGTTTAATAAATAAATAAGAGCAGAAATTATTGCATATACTCAGCCCAACTCTGTCCATGGTCAGGCTGCAACAAACACTCACCACAACCTTCCTGGCAAGAATTGAACGTTTTGACTATATAAATGATGTTACCATGTAGCTAAAAAAAAAAAAAAAAAAAAGAAGAAGAAGAAGAGAGCAAGAAAGAAAAATTTTGGAAACAAACATCTTTAAATGTAAATACAGGGCTATGCAAAAGTAGGTCTACAGTTATTCGTATGGGAAATAATACAAAAATTAAAAAATAATAATACAAGAATAAACTCTGCATTTCACATACTCAACCGTAAACCTATTTTTGACAACACCTGTATATAGCGAAGGAAACAGAATCACTACTACGTCATGTCAGCTGAGAAAGTGAGTAAGGATTTGTAACCAAGATGTGATGTTTGTGCCCTTCTGCATGGGTGGCATATGATACTGTCCCTTTTTGCACTGAGGTGCTTTGCTGACACTGGTCGTTTGATTCCATGACAGACAGGGGCCTGTGATCTCAGCACGGAGGAGATGCTCGCTAAATATTTGTTGAATGGGTAACGCCTGGGTGGGCATGGTCATTGTTCTCTGTGTTGGATTCTGCACATTACACACCTCTCTGTGCATCTTCAAAGGCACTCTGGGTCTGCTTTTCCCGAAGGGACTCCATTTGGCCTGGTGGCTGGCGCGGCTGGGCTGTGTCGCAGCTGGGTGTAGTGATAACTCCACCAGCTCTTGCTGCCCAAGGGAAGAAAAATGTGCTTTTGTGTGTGGAAATGTCAGGGCTTCTAGAAGAAGTCATGGCTCCACTGTCATCGGGCTTTCGATGCTGAGTCGTGAACGTTTACTTGGAAAGATAATGGGAGGAATCACTGGGCCTAAAGGCTGTTGGAGACTATGACAGGGGTTAGGACTATAGGTGATGTCCACTCATGGAAGTAGAAAGGCCGTTCCAGAGGACAGACCCAGGTCGTCGGCTCAGGATACGGAGGTACTTCCTACAGCCATGCTGCAGGGAGCTGCTGCCCCCACGCTGTGTGCCCGTCTCCGGACGATGCGAAGTCAGACAGGCCGACAACCTGTGCTACAGAACAGGCAAGCACATCAGCAGGGAAACTGGAAGAGATGGCCTTTAAGGTCTCCTCCAGTTCTCTTTTCCATTTTCCCATGTCCCTGTAGATTGCAAAACGTCAAAAGATGCCATGAATAGTGCTTGTTCTGTCCCTGTGATTTTCTGTCACTGCAGATTCCGTCAGTGAGGCACCTGATGGCTGGCACAGTCCAACAGCAGAGCTTGTCCCTCCTTGTCACTGCTGACACCAGGATCCTCACTGCCCATCCTCCTACGGCCTGAAATACCCAAGCAAAGGCTCCAGGATGGTGCAGCAGAGGCAGCCGGAGTGGGCAGGACACCTTGGTGGCCTCAGTAGAGTTAGGAGGTGGGTATGCAATGTCTCTTCCCTCTAGTGCCTCTGTGCCTCCAAAACCCAGCCATGCCTTCCTCCGTGAGGACTCCCAAGAGTCTTCCTAATTGTGGAAATTAGTGGATGTTTCCTCAGAACACCGAGAGGGACCTCCACCTCCTTTATAGCACCTCTCCCAGTCTGCAGTGTCCTATAGTTATTTGTGGGCAAGTCCTATCTCCCCTACTGGGCTCGTATAGAGCAGAATCCACAAAGGCCTTGGGAAAGCAGGGGAAGTCGACTCTTTCCATCTGGGAGCTGACAGTTTGGTTGAAGCAATTGGACAAATGCACCAAGGATCGATTTTGGAGGTAGTATCTTTCATTAAACATTAATTCATACATGGAAGACATGCGTAGCATGTCTCCTGTGTGTTGGACATTGAGTTGGATTCTTGGGGAGGGGGTAAGGTACGTAGAGTTTGACAGACTTGGCTGGGTGGGTCGGTTGGTTGGAGCGTCATTCCATATATCAAAAGGTCGTGGTTTCTCTTCCCGGTCAGGGCACACACCTAGGTTATGGGTTTGATCCCTTGTCAGGGTACCTACTATGGGCAAACAGTCGATGTTCTCTCTCATTGATGTTTCTAGCTCTCTCTCCCTCTCCCTTCTTCTCTCTCTAAAATTCAATGAAGAAAAATAAAAATGTTTAATGGGAATAATGATAATACATACAGTTGTGGTGAAGATTTAAAGAGTTAATGCAGGTAAAGGGCTCAGAACAGTGTCAGCATGTGAGCTGAGTTATGACTGTCCTTATTGAGCGGCTGCTGGACTGAGACGAGGTCAGGACCCAGGCCAAGCAATTTCACTCATATCAGTAAGGTCAGTCCCTTCACTGTGAGACACGAAGCCAACCTCGCAGCCAATAAGTGAGTTTCCAGATGCCCCCAGTCCCAGCGGAGAGGGTTTCCAGAGGCCCAGGTGTCACATTCCCACCAGAGAGGGAACCACAGCGCTTCTCCTCCTGGGGACACCGTCTTGGTTCAGGGTGTCAGCAGAAGTCTAGTTATCCACAGGCGCCTCCATCAGTGACACTCCTCCTTCCCCAAACATCTGCAGAATTCCACCAGCCCTTCCAGCATTAGTTCTGACCCTCCTCTGCACCCCCGAGCCCCTGCGTCGGCCTTCTGAGGGCTCTTCATCTCCAATTCCATGATCCTCATAAAACTCAGACCTTAGTATGTCATTGCTCTGCTCAACTATGTCTGATAGGGAAATCCAAATGAAAACAAAATGATAGAGTTGTCCCACCAACCAGATTATGATTAAACTTAAAGTCAGATCATCTCATGTACTTTTCAGGGGTTTGGGGAAGGAGCGTCGCACACACGCCTGGAGGAGTGTCCATCAGTATGGCTGCTTTGGCACACCCCGAGGCAGTGTGGAGAAATGCACACACCCTCTGCACCAGCAGCTTCAGGCTCCACGTCTACCTGGAGGGACTTTCCTATGAGAATGAGGAGGTATGTCATTGAGCCTTGTTTGGAATAGAGAAAATTTTCAAAAACCACCCTAAATGCTCATCAAAAGGAAATGATTAGTCTGATTTATCCATGTTCTAGAATGCTACTCAGCATTGAAAACATGAGCTTTGTCTAAATCCACTAACGGAAAGATGTTACATCACAATACAGTGTGAGATAAAGTGTGTCCACCCAAAATCTGTACGTTGAAGTCCTAACCTCCAGGACCTCAGACTGTCTCTGTGTTTGGCTGCAGAATCTTTAGACAGGTAATTAAGGTCAAGTGAGGGGGGCCCTAGTCCAACATGAGAAGGGGGAAGACCGTGTGGAGACATTGGGAGAACAGGGTCATCCACAAGCCAAGGAGAGAGGCCTCAGAAGACACCAGCCCTGCCAGCACCTTGCTCTTGGACTTCTAGCCTCCAGAACTGTGAGAGAATACATTTCCATTCTTTTTTTTTTGTTTTTTTTTTAACCTCACCCGAGGACATTTTTCCATTTTTTGTTCAGGTAGAGTGGGAGGGAGAGAGAGAAACAGAGAGAGAGAGAGAAACATTGATGTGAAAGGAACACATCGAGTGGCTGCCACCCGCACAACCGACCAGGGCCGGGGACAAACTGCAACCGAGACACGCGCCCTTAGCAGGAACCGAACCCGGGTGTCTCCGGACCGCAGGCCGACGCTCTAACCGCTGAGCCAAACTGGCCAGGGCTAAATTTTCATTCTTTAAGACATGTGGTCTGAGGCACTTGTCACAGCAGCCGTAGCAAACTAATACACTGTACTGTATAGAAAACCAAACGGAAGGGTCTACCCCAGCCTGATAACAGAGGTTACCTGTGGGAAAAGATTGGGATCAAGGATAGTGGTTGAAGGGGAATTTAGTTTTAAAAATAAGGTTTTACTATTTACAATGAGAAATCAGTCATATATAATTTGTATATCAATTAAAAAAAAAAAAAAAAAGAACTCTTCCATGACACAGTATGCAATGTACTTCACCCCTTGGACGCAACAATCTGGAATTGAGAACATGCCCCCTGTCGACCCCCAGCCCCTGCACACCTATCTACCATGATAGAATGTCCCATCTGTCTAATGCGTCCATGTCTTTGGGTGTTCCCTCTGCTTGGAATGTCTTCTCCCCCCTTTTCAAGCCCAGGCTGCTGATTTTCATCCCCGAGGGCTCGGCTCCCGTGTCACCGCGTTATAAGTAGATTGCCGGAAGGCTAACTCGGCAGGTTTCCTCCAGGCCCACCCTCTGTTCTCCTGATGTCTCTTCACATCTTACACCCAGTGCCTGATCAGCGCCTGCAGCCGAGGACATGCTCAATAAATGGTTCCAAGGGCATGGATGGGGACGCTTCCTCATAGGCTGCTTCTGCATCCACTGTCTCAAAGGTCCAACATCTCAGTCTGTGTAGTAACAGACTCCTTAGCGACTAAGACTGTAATCATGACATGAGTGAGGTCCTGCCCTTTAATAGTGTCTTTAATACAACGGGACAGATATATTTCTAGGCCAGCCAAGTCCCATTTGCCTCCAATTCGGATTCAATCAACTGAGAATATATTGCAATTTATTTTTTTAAGTTCTGTGCCCGTAGAGGTCTTTAATTACTTAACCCACAATAGGCCCGACTCAGAAATGCCTGTTGCCCTCTGACCGGCGGCTCCGAGGAGCCAGGCCTTACCTCTGCATTGGCCTGGGGGAGCACCCCCGCTCCAGGCTGGAGGACGTGTGTTTCACGTGCATCGCGTTATAGGAAGTGTGAGTATAGTCATTCTCGTCACTGTAGTCGGGACCCAGCAATGTCCGAGCCCAGGTTCCCATGTCATAAGGAGGAAGGGTTCCTCCAAATTCAGAGGGCAAAAATTCAGGGTGTATTAGCTGGTGAAGGCTGTTTAAGTTGTTCCCGTGCAAGAAAATCTGGGGGGAAAAAAATAATTAGCAATTTAAAAATCCAAAACATATGACCAAGTATTGACTCTAATACACCATTGAGCAATGACAAATTGGATGCGCTGCTGGTGATCATGGTGTTTAAGGAGGCATTCAATTTTGTGTCTATAGATTCGTCTTTATGAAATGTTAATTTATTGCTCAGAAAAAGGGGCTGCATTAGTCGTCCTTAGGAATGAAGTTCAGTGTGCATATATCCTACAACTCTCATGGTCCCCCTCCTAGATGTAGCCCCAGAATAACTCACACTGACCCCGAAAAGGAAATGGATGCCGTGTCCACAGAGGCATTGTTTGTGGCTGCAAAGACTGGGAAATACCCTTTATGTTCGTTACTAGAGGACTTGACTACTCTCGTATGTTATATGCACACAATGAACTATTATGCAGCAGTCGGTTTACGATAAACTTACATATTGTAACATGAAAAAAATAAAATATATGGATAAACTGGGAATTATTTGGCCATGGCCCAAATTTACAGATACAGTGATCTCCTAATTATCCCTGCGGAGGGAGAGAGTAGGTGCGACCACCAGACCCCTGTCGTGCTTCACCTGCACCTCCACGTTGATCTCCTCTCTCGTGCTCATTCTCTGCCCTCTGCATCCCCCAGTGCTCCCCATTATTCCCAGGCTTACACCACGTGGCAGCTTTGTCCTAAATGTGTCCCGGTGGCACCTGCCCACTCTGCTCCTCCACCCCACCCCCCACTCTTGTTATCTTCTGACGTCTATTTCTTCTGATTTGTTCATTCATGTCTCGCTGGACAGTAGGGGGAGAAAGAGCTACAGAGAAAGGGACGGTGTTTTCTCACTCTTCCGCTATGCCCCTGACTCCTGGGGTGGTGTGGGCACAAGGTGGGAGCTCACTGTGGGATGTTACTGCAGCCATTTTCCATTCATGTCTGGAGTGAGGGCTATGCTCAAGCAGAGGAGAAAACAGCCCCAAATCACAATTATTTTCCGACAAACGCGCAAAGTGGATGAGCCACAGGTTGATAATTACCACTGCCTGCAATTTCGGAACTGACTCCTGGGAGTGCATTTAGAGTACATCTGCATAATGACATCAGTTTCCACGCTTCTGCATGTTGTAGGTTCAGTGCACAAAGTAAGGACCATCCACATGCACACAGACATACCCCAGTTAATCATTATGAAACACACATGTGACTTTTAAAATATATAAAGATAGTATCATAACATACCATGTATTATATTAACAGTATACCATATTACAGTATGCCATATTACTCTATAATAAACACTTGCTACTTTCTTCTGTTGTATTGTTTTTGACTTAAGATTAATGGCATCGTTTAACAAGGAAGGGGACAAGACGCTAAATACTAAAATTCTTCAGAAGAATACTGCAGCACTACAGAAAACAGTGGACATTTTCTGACACTGGATTGAGTTATTATCAAATTTTAATAAGAATTATTTCTTTTGAAGAAATTTACATGTTCTGTTTTTTGCAAAACATCTCACAAGAGGAACTTCAGTATTTGAAGTGTAAAAAAGCTGGAACTAAACGCCAGCCCAGTGTTAAAAGCAAACATTTGTACCCACCCTCCCAACACCTCCAGTTCTTAAAGGACAAGGAGCCTGTGGAAACCAGCCCTCTCCTAGGGGTTTCGTGGGACGGAGAAGCTCAACAGGTAGGAGGCTGCATGTACCACCTGTCTGATTCTGTTCTGCACCCAGAGCTCCAGAAACTCCCTTCCAGGGTACAGCACCAAGTGCTGATTGCTTGGTAGGAGGAATTCCTGCTGGCTCCTTCCTGAGCAGGTGAAGCCACTGGGAAGCCCGAAGCTATATTGGGAACAGTCTAGGGCACGTTTCTGTCCTAAGTCCCAGACAGATGGCAATGTCCCAGAATGTCTCTGCCTCCAGAGGCTGGTGAGTTCTGATTCCCAATTTCACATTTGTTTAGGAACAGGAGCATGGCCCCTCCCTCCTATACCCTATTGCAGTGTTTCCTAAGGATCTGGAAGCATTTGAGGTCTAGAAGTTAGAAACCCTGAAGAGAGTGAGTGAGTGTGTGTGTGTGTGTGTGCTCTTCACATCATCATTCTTCCCACAATACTCAGAGCTGTTTCCTTACATGGGGTCTGTGGGTACAGGGGCACGTGGACAATGCTCTAAGAATGACCCTGGCCAGGTTCTCTTGTGAGGTGGTGTTCCTGACAACAAAAGGTAGTTGAAATCAGAAAGTTTGAAAGAAAAGGGAGTTGAATGGTAAAGAAAAATAGAAGTCCGTGAGTCTCTACATGTGTAGCATTCTGCAACCTGCTTTCACGTGCTCTCATTAAATTACCCCAGCAGCTCTGTGATGTGGGTGTTAGTTTCCCCATTTTACAAATGAGGACATTGAGATCCAGTGGCTATGAATGTCCATAATCAGAATGCCATAAAGAGGGCCAGCTCCCCTTAAGATCTGGAAACAGCCCAAATGTCCATCAGTGGATGAATGGATAAAAAAGCGGTGGTACATATACACAATGGAGTACTATGCAGCTGTAAGAAAGAAAAATCTCTTATCCTTTGAGACAGCATGGAGGGACCTGGAAGGTATTATCCTAAGTGAAACAAGCCAAACAGAGAAAGACAAGTATCATATGATCTCACTTATTTGTGGAATATAATGAACATAACAGTCTGAGGAATGGTGTAGTGCCAGAGACGTGAAAGTAGGGTACAGACTAACAATCCCCAGAAGAGAGAATGGTGGGGGAAAGATAAACCACAGAACTTATATGCAGGTATGCATGAACAATGGACATGGACAACAAAGTTGGGGACAGGGCAGGGAGGGAGGAGGAGGGGAGAATCAGTGGGGGGAAAAGGAGAAATATCTGTAACAAAAATTAATTAATTAATTAAAAAAAATAAAAATAAAAAAGGTCAGCTCCCCAAATGTCATCAGCTGATGCACTCAAGATTTTGAAAGCCTTCACTGTTATTCCCAATGGAGAGTATTTGCCCAACCTCAAAGGTGATTTGGTAGCTAAGATCCTAGAGTCTTAGGTGGGGGTTGGGACAAACTATAAACATTCTTCATTGAGATAGTACATTTGCGAGACAAAATGCTGACTATTAAAATATCCCGCGAACAGGAAGCTGCTTGATCCCACACCTCCCACAAACATTTGCAGTAAAATGGGCATCTGGTATTTGCATGCCTTCAAAGCTCCCTTTGGTTTGTCACTGGGACTCTGAAAATAACCCAGTCGTACTAAATTATTGATTGAATCTAGGCCATTTGCAAACTCCAGCTGAGGCTCAAACGCTCAGGGACTACAGAAAAGCAGAAAAACTGCAGAGAAAAATGAGAAGAGGAGGAGAGACTGAGAGGAGAGGCGCCCGGACTGCGCCCCCCACACCCCACCGTCCCGGCGTCGGGCGGCTCTCTTCCTTACCCGCTTCCTGGTCTTGTCTTTGAGGAACGGCTTGATGAGCGTGTACAGGGCATGGATGTACCAGGGCTGGTTGACGAAATGGACTCCTCCGAAGCGGGCAGGAAAGCTGTCCTGAGGCGGAAAGAGAGAAACACGCCGGTCAGCAGCATTCCAGGTCAGCCCGAGCCAGCTGGGCCGCAAGACCAGGACAACCTGGCTTGTCTCTGAAGCTCCAGCTGGTGGGGGAGACAGAAAACACGCCTGCCTGTCTGTTGAGGTTTCCTCTGTTCCCCTCGCCCCCACCCCCAACCCCTTTGACTCCACAACCGAAAAACCATGCGTTGGTGCCAGGCCTTGCTTTCCCAAGTCACAGTTATGTGACCACCCACGTGGCAAGCGCATGCGCAGCCTGGATAGGAGGGAGTCAGATTGCTTCGCGCCTCAGGGAACCGAGGCTTCGGTTCCCACAGCCCTAAACCCAGCTCTCCCTCCTTAGCCTCTTTCTGGGCTGGCCTGCTCCAGCCCCGCCCCCGGATTACCATGACAGTGGCTGTTATATCTGGGTGAGTGGGGCTCTGTGGAAAGGGGTTGGAAAAGAATTTCAAAGGATTTCTGGGATCCACTGACACCATGGGTACCAGCACTTTTTTCACAGATTACAGAATTAGGTCCTCACTTCATCCTGGGACCCACACAATAGGTCCCAGGGAAAAGATGCTTGTTGATTGATAGGTTAGTTAATTATCCTAATAGAGGTCCTCTTTTTTTCTGCAGATCAACACATTTTGTAAGTATCAGGAAATAAGAGTGTTTTTTTAATAGAGTATTTTAAAAAATATGTATTTATTTATTTATTCTTAGAGAGAGGGTAAGGAGAGGGAGAGAGAGAGAAACATTGACGTGAGAAAGAAACATCGACTGCCTGACCCCTGCATGCCCCCTACCAGGGGTCAAGCTGGAAACCCTGACATGTGCCCTGATCTGGAATGGAACTGGTGACCCTTTGGTACATGGGACGACACTCAACTGATTAAGCCACACTGGCCAGGGCAGGAGTGTTTTTTAAACGGTTCCAATTTTGGAATCCAGATCAGGGCAAAAGCTTGTGTTTTAGAAGCTGAGAAGCTGCTCTCAGTGCTAACTAGATTCACACACTACGGGACACTGATCATTAAGTCTGAGCTAGCCGCACAGCACCAACTCCTGAGGTCTTGATGAAGGCCTTCCCCGGATTGCATTGCATTCATCCTGGTTAATGGCATTAAAAGAAGGGCCTGCTAATGCAATTTGAATTGCTTAGTGTGCTGGCAATCAATTTCATTGCAACAAAAATGTTTGTAAAATGTTGGCAAGATGAGATAAAAGCAGACAGGGCCTGGCTGTCTGAGCTGAGTTCAGGCAGCTAGCTGCTTCCTGCTGGTGTCTGGAATGCTTTGCAGGGATCATTTGTAGTAACTTGGAAAGACTGTTATTAACTTTCCTTCAGAGCCCTCCGAGTCTACAGCCATCTTCTGGAATCTTTCATACCAAGACCTAGTTTCCAATAAGTGCATAGAACTGTGTTTAAGTGTTGACATTTGAAAATCTTGAAAGTAATTTTGACTCCATGTAAACATTTCATAGAGTACAAAGGAATCAAATAGTTTGAAGGCTACACTAGACAATTTCAATAAAAGTTCTTTCTTTGCAGGGTATTTATTTATTTTTGGTTCCTTTTATTTTAAAAAACCTTAATAAAACTACCAAGTAAGGGTAGAGAGACCATTTATACTAATTTGTACATTTGTCATAATGTCTCACTATTTCAATTCTGAATTGGGAAATGTAAAAGATCTTAATAAGGTAGTCTGTTCTCTTTTTGGGAGCGTTTGAAATCTAAACATATTTGCTTCCTTTAAAATAAATTTAAAAAAGACCATTTCCCAAAGTTTTTCCATTGCAGTAACTGCTAAGCACTAGCCTTACTCCTTTTGGTCCTTTGGAACTTATTATTCAGAAGTCTAAGTCATTATCCCACACACTGAACATGGGTCTGAGGGGCTGTAGAAGAAGGAAAAGAAAGGGTTTATCTATAAAACCAGGGATTTGCTGTCTTTTTTAATAGGACCAATAAGAAGATTTTTATTTCTGCAGAGTGTGTTGTATTACACATTTCTAGGTTAGTAAAGTGGAAGAAAATTCTGTAAGTAGTACGCTAGAGGCAATAGGCAAAATCTCAAAGAAAATATTAACCTTTTAAAAATATCTAGAGACCCTTAGCTTTAGTCTATGGAACGTCAATCATCAAAGACATCAAAACCCACCTCTTTGTGTCAGAGGAGGTTGAGAGACAAGACACAGGCCTGCCACCTGTCAGTTCTCTCTGGGCTGGCTCTGGCTGCAAGTCGGCCAGCTCGCACGCCCAGTGGGTTTTTATTGATCTTCTTCAGGCCAGCCAGCGACCATGTGCAGATACATTCACTAAAATTGTATGCCTCAGACTTCTGGGTTTAGGCCAGAGTAGAAAGAGGATGACTTTCTTCAAGTCTCATCTATAAAATGCAAATGAAAGGTCTCTTGTGCAATAAAGGCAATGTGCACATATTCTGGGTATTCTCCGATGAGCCTGACCATATTATTATTAATAATGATGCCTGTGTGTGTTATGCAAAGAGAAAGGTGAGGGAGGGAAAATTAGCAGACACAATGCTCATCGTTGTTGGTCATGCAGCCTGATCTCTTTAGCAAACTGCAGGTAAAGGGGAAGTTATCTGCCACACAGATGTCTTCCAGGACCTCAGCAGGGTCCACCACCCCCAGGGAGGTGCATTTTGTAGGAGCTGGAGCAGACCTAGCTCAAGATGGTGAGCCACGATCCAGTGGCAGTGTAACACTTTGTTGTTTCATATTCTTGGCAACTAAAGAGTATGCGCCAAAAATACTTCTTAGGTTCAAGAAAATGGTATCAATATTTGCATATTTCATGTATTTGTCAATAAAAATATCATAGCACTTCAAATTATAAACATTCTAATTATAAAATTTGTCTTTTATCTAATTTAAATTACTTTTTTTTTTTTATCCTCACCCGAGGACATTTTTGCATTTATCTTTAGATAGAGCAGGAGGGAGAGAGGGAGGAAGAGAGAGAGAGAGAAACATCTATGTGAGAGAGACACATCAACTGGTTGCCACCCACACGACCCCAACTGGGGCCAGGGACAAACTGCAACCGAGGCACGTGCCTTTAGCAGGAACTAAACCCGGGACTCTCTGGTACGTGGGCCGATGTTCTAACTGCTGAGCCAAACTGGCTAGGGCCAATTTAAATTACTTTTATGTATTTCCTTGTTACAAAATAACAACCACTCTAGAAAAAGAAAAAGTAGATAAAAATGTTATTTGAAAAATTTTAAAATGTAAAAAGAGAAAAAAAATTGCCTATATTCCCACTGTCAAAAACATACTCTTGCTATTTTCTTACGCTCAGTATGGACTATATTACATTATAATAACACAGCCCTTGTTTTTCATCATTTAAAACCATTGAGATCTGTTTCTCATGCACATAAAATGTCCAAGTTAAAATTAAAAAATTTTGAAATCACTTTTTATACCAAGAACCTTGAAGACCTCAAACTGAATGAAAAAATTATAACTAACAGGGGCCTGCCCTAATGACAGAGATGTTAGAATAACTTGACAAAGATTTTAAATTAACAAGCAATTATAAACATACTTGACATAAATAAATAAAAAATAGAAAATCTCAGAAAAAAATATGAACTCTTAGCAAAGAAATATAAACTATAAAGAAAAATAAATAGAATTTTGAACTGAAAAATACAATAACCAGAAAAAAAGTTCAGCAGATGGGGGCTCAACAGTGAGATGAATTGAAAGATACAATAGAAATTACCCAATGTGAACAAAGAGAAAATACAGTTTAAAACAATAAGCAGAGTCTTAAGGACCTCTTGGGTCTACAGCAAAAGATCAACACTTGTGACATTAGAGTCCTGGAAAAGGAGGAGAAAGAAGGCAGGACTGGGAAGTAGTTTAAGAAATAATGTCTGAGGCCCTGGCCGGTTTGGCTCAGCGGTTAGAGCGTCGGCCTGCGGTCCTGAGAGACCCGGGTTCGGTTCCCGCTAAGGGCGCGTACCTCGGTTGCAGTTTGTCCCCGGCCCTGGTTGGTCGTGCGGGTGGCAGCCACTCGATGTGTCCCTTCATGTCGATGTTTCTCTCTCTCTCTCCCTCCCACTCTACCTGAACAAAAAATGGAAAAATGTCCTCGGGTGAGGATAAAAAAAAAAAAAAAAAGAAATAATGTCTGAAAACTTCCAAAAATTTAGCAAGAGACTTAAATCTACAGTTTGGAGCACCCAGTAAAAACCAAACAGTGTAAACCCAAATCAATTGATGCCAAGACACATCATAACTATATTTTTGAAATCTAAGGACAGAATGTTGAATGCCGCTAGTGGGAAGAATTATCTTGCCTACAGCTGAAAAAAAAAAAAAAAAAAACAAGTGCAATGACAGTGGATTGCTCATCAGAAACCATGGAGAGCAGGTGGAAGTAGCACAATGTTTTTCAAATGCTGAAAGAACTATCAACCTAGGATTCTATATCCAACAAAAGTATCCTTTAGGAATGAGGGGGAAATCAATAAATTCTCAGGTGAAGGAAAACCAAGCCAATTTTTTGACAGCAGATCTACCCTAAAAGAATGGTTTTAGGAAGTTCTAAACAGAAATGAAATGGTGAAAAGAATCTTGGGTAATCAGGAAGGAAGAAAGAACACAGTAATAAAAAATATAGGTAAATATGATAGGCTTTTTTTCCTCCTCTTAAGTTTTCTAAATTGAAGTAAAATCCATGACACTGTCTGATGCAGTTCTATGTATACGTAAAGAAAATATTTAAGACAATCATATAAATTGGAGAAAGAAAAGAAAGTAAAGGGAGATGAATATTTTATACATGAGTTGGTAAAATTTTGACATCAATAGATTGTAAATGTATAGTGCATTAGTGTCACCCCAATAAATTTAATAAAATTTTTTAAAAGTACAATGTAACACTTAGTGCATTGCTAACAAAGCTATACAAAGAAGTATACTCAATAACACTATAAATAAATAAAAATAGA